AAAAAAAAAAAAGACTGGGCAGGCATTATGACCAGTTATAAACTCAGGGCCAAAATAAACTCTTAAGAGCTTTGCCTGCCACTTTTGTTTTGTTTTGTTTTGCAGTGCCATCCTAACTCCTTAGGTACATTAATTGCTCTACTCTCTGTGTTCTTTTAGCACTTTGTTTTCTTATTCACAGTGGCACTTACTAGCTTAATTGCAAATTATGTGCTTAAATATTTATCTATTCCACTGAATTATATGTTTTTGAAGATTGGCAACATGTTTTATTCATCTGCGTATCTTTAGCATCCAACACATAATAGTTGCTCTGGGTATGTTTGTTGAAATTGAATTGTCAATAGCTTTTATATCTGATGCTACATCTAGGTACCAGACTCAATACTTTTTTCCTTCTATTTTCTGTTTCCTTAAAATAAGGATTTTAGCTACTCTAAGGGTAAGGGGTGGGGGAAGGGGTAGCACTTTAATGAAATGAAGCTAATTTGTAAGGTTGAGATTTTAGTTGTCATTTCATATAAAATTGAGGATATAAATGTGAATAAAACAGACTGTTGTCAGGAGGCTCAAAATCTAGTAGGGAAAACAGACATAAAAAAGTGTAATAGTGTTATAAACGCATTAAAATTGTTATGTTCTAGATGTGGTGGTAGCACCTAGGAGAATAGTTACTTCTGCTTGGCATTGTCAGGGATGGCTTTATAGAGAAGATTCTCAGACTGGGTCTTGAAGAAGACATAGTGAAAGTTTGTCATGTGGATTTGGTGAAGGAGGAATAGGTACATTGGCTAAGCAGGAGTTAGAGAGCAATATAGGAAAGAGAAACTGGCCTATGCAAAGTTTAGGCAGTAAGGAGTTATTAAGAAGTTTTATACAGGGAAGCAGCAGATTTACGTTTCACCAAAATGTCTGGTAAGAGTGTGAAAAATGAATTGAGTGGATGGGGGCATTAGGGGAGACTGGAGCCAGGTAGAGTAATTATGAGGCTTGTAAAATTGTGTAACTCAGAATTGAAGAAGACCGGAAGCAGGGATGGAGAGGAGGGGGCAGTTACAAAAATGTTAATGAGGTAGAATTATTAGGCTTTTGGATGTTGGGGGAGGGCGATGAGGGAGAGATACTTAGTCTGGCATAAATTTCAGGTTTCTAATTTGGGTGGATGGTATTGCTGCCAATCAGAGGAGGAAATACATAAAGATTAGCATATTTGGGAAAAAAAATCAGTTCAGGATATGTCCAGTTTGAGGTACCTAAAGGCCAGCCATGTGGAGAGTTCCAATAAGCAGTTGGGTCTGGAGCTTTGGAGCTAAAGATTTAGATAGAAATTTAGACATAAAATCATGGGCACCTGGGACTTGTAAAGGGAAAAAAGAAAACAAGACTCTGGAAAGCAATGTGATATTAAAGAACAGAGGAAAGCAGTTAAAGAGTGTCCGAGAACCAGGAAAGAATGGTTTCATGGAAATGGAACAAGCAGAGTTTTTATGTAAAAAGGTGGTAGCTATTAGTATCAAAGTAAGATAAGGATTAATGTGTGACTATTAAATGAATCCATTATTAACAGGCCATTACTTATCTTAGTACCATATCATGAGGGTGGTGAGAATAAAGTTCAGATTGCAGTATGTTGAGGTATGAATGGGAAGTGAAATAATATAGGCTGCTATTTTAAGGCTCTTAACCAAGAAAATAGGGCGTTAAGTAATTAAGGGAGGTTTGGTTTTGTTTTCCTTTTTTTTTTTTTTGAGGATAGAAGATATTGAAAATTTTTTTGTAGTCAGTGGAGAGAGAGCTCATAGAGAGGAAGAAACAGAAGGTGCAAGAGAGGATGGACTAATTCTATGGTCCCCAACCCTCTACTGGTCTGTGGCCTGTTAGGGTGTTAGGAACCCAGCTGCAGAGTTCCACCCCCACCCCAAATTGTCTTCGGTGAAACTTGGGAAGGCGAAGGGGGACAGCTGCGCACAGCAGGAGGTGAGCGGCCCTAAGGAGGGAAGCTTCATCTGTATTTACAGCCTCTCCCTGTCGCTTGTCTCACTCCCTGAGCTCTGAATCCCACCCACCCAACCCCGTCCATGGAAAAATTGTCTTTCATAAAACTGGTCCCTGGTGCCAGAAAGGCTGGAGACCACTGGACTGATTGACAAAGCAGGGTCCTTGAAGTTAAAAGACAAAAAAAAAAAAAAAAGTCCTTTCATTTATTCTTAAATATAGGTTAAAGGAGTTGAGTTTTCATAAGAAGGAAGGATGGAAAGACAATTTTAGCCCCCAGGGAGCTCTCCCTTTTCTAAGCCTCTGTTTTATTCCCTATGTTTTCTAGTCATTAAGTGGGGGAAACCATATTTGATGGCCTGCTGTATACCAAGCATTTCCTGGGTGCTGGGGATATGTAAGCAAAGAAGACAAAGTCCTTCCCTTCATAGAACTTAGATTCTATGGAGAGTGGGGTAAGAAAATGGAAAGTAAATGCACAGACTGAGATAATGAAAAGCCAGGAGAATGGGGTAGTACTGAGAAGGACAGAGCTTGCTGTTATTTGTTGGTGGGTCATAGAAGGCCTCAAGAATAAGGTGACATTTGAACGGAGAGAGGATGGAAGTGAGAGCGCCATACAGGTATCTGGGGGAAGAGTGTTCCAGACAGAAGAAATACTAAGTTCAGAGGCCCTGAGGCTGGAGGTTTTTAGTATCCTCCTTGGGAGAGCTCACCTATACCCATGCCCCTTCATCTACAGAAACAACTTTGCATATGTCATTGTCTCATAGCAGTGTCCCCTCCAGACTCCCATAGTAGTAATTCACCCAGTCTTTATCAACCCATTAATAAATCTCTTTTGAATCTACTCTTTCCTCTCTGTTCCCACTTAGTTTCTCAATTCAGACTTCCTTCATTTTTCCTCTGGCCTCATCCCCTCACTCATTCTCAGACATTGCTTTAAAAATATAAGTTGTTAATTTCCTGCTTAAACTTCTCCAATAGTTTCTCATTATTATCTCTTGGGACATAATCTAAACTTCTTAATTTGCTGATAATGCCCTTTGTGTGCTAGTTCAATTTCATTTCTTGCCATTTGTCTCTTAGTGAACCTCTATTTCTAGTCTTTGAATGCGTGAGTATTCTCTGTTGATTTTCCATATTTTTATATATATATTATAACGTTAGCATAGTCAGGTTTTTCCTACCCCTCCAGTGCTAACTCCTATTTGTCCTTTAAGACCCAACTTGAATATCACCTCTTCTGGAACTTTATCTGACTACAATTAATTTAGGTGTGCTCTCTGTTTTTCCATTAAGGAGGAATTTATTATGTTATTTATTAACTCTGCATTGTAATTGTTTTGTATATGTTCTCTGCTAGACGATGAATTTCTGAGGGCATAGACTGTATCTTTTCATTCCTCACCTAACATCTAACCTAGTGTCTGTGACATTTATACATGAAAGAATAAACTGTTTTGTAAATTATTTTTCAGATTCGATATATTTCTCAGACTCAAGGTTTACCAGGAGAACAGTTGTTGAATGTGGGTACAAAATCCACAAGATTTTTTTGCAAAGAAACAGATATGACTCATTCTGGTTGGAGATTAAAGGTAATTCATTAAAAAAGTTAATATTTAGGAAAATAGTTTTCTAAGATGCCTCATGCATGAGCAATACCTTCCATTTCTAATTTTATTTTATAGCATTTCTTCCTTCTTTTGAATTTTCATTTTTGATCCTTTTTTTTTTTTTAAAAAAGAAAAGACCCTCTCAGAATAATTTAGCTCCTGTAATCCTAGCTCTCTGGGAGGCCGAGGCGGGCAGATTGTTTGAGCTCAGGAGTTTGAAACTAGCCTGAGCAAGAGCGAGACCCCGTCTCTACTAAAATTAAAAAGAAATTAATTGGAC